CAGCTTGAGCGATTTGATCAACGCATTCGTCTGCCATAATGGCATACCAGATGCCATCCTTCACTTTTGATATAATTATGTCTCTGAGAATCATAGTGGACATTATTTTTAAGATTTCATTTTGTATTGTGTAAGTAACATACGCATTTCGTTTTTTTTCCAGCCAGTCTGCAAACAGCGGATCATCTTTTTCCCGCAAAAGACAGAGTCCATAAAAATTGCTACTACCTTCAACTTTCCCTTGAACTGCTAGTCCATGAGAAGATAAAAATATAAGGTTTTCAATAATTTTTCGTAGCATTTTCCGATTGTGGACTTAATGTTCTGAATGTTGACTGGATAACATTTCCCCCACATCTTGCTTAGATTTTGATGCATCAGACTCAACAGCGGTTCTATGGCATGCAGACAACTCATGATTTTTAAAAGCTTCAATACCTTTCTTCCAGTTAATAAATCCTTTATTGATGAAAGACATATCAACAGAATGTGTTCCGATAAGTCTTTTCTCATTATATTTAGACATGCAAATGTGGCAAAGATCAGAATCATTGGCTACATTATAATGAAGCCATGGAAAGATGCCAAACCAATATTGTTGAAAACATCGTCTCTTGTCCTTACCAAATGTTTTATAAGGAAACTTGAATGATTGATCTGGTTGATTTTTAGGGCCTGAAAAACCTTGTACACACCGCGTTTCGGGGAATGCTTCGGAAGAGGCCGAGGGTTTTTGCCATACACCATCTCCATCAACCGCCTATTATTTGCTTTTTTCACTTCTGCACCCGAAAGTTTGCGTTTTGGTGACATCTCTAGAATATAAATAAAAATTTAAATAATTAATTTGTTTTTTCAGATAATCGGCTCCTTGGCGCTATCAAAGCAATGTTACTTATCGGTAAATATCTTGTTAATCAATTGTTAAAAAATTTAACCAAGACAAGAAGACCAAAAAAAAAGTTAATACAAAAATATATATATATATTTTTTTAAATAGATATATTTAAAACAATTTTTTTTAACAATTTCAAAAAAAAAAATTTTTCAGGGTCAATAATTTTTTAAAGGCACAACTAAAAGGGCGCCATCATTTTTTTTTCTAGGGGGGCTCTGGCCCACCCGGGCCCCCCGGTTCCGAGGCCCATGACTGTTAAGTTGGGAGTTAATGGAAAATAAAGAATAGAGTTAAAGAGTTACTAAAAGTAGTGCCAACAGGGTCAGACGTTTTGAAGCCAAGCAATTAAGTGTGATGAGCTTTAATGCCACCAATTATAACAATATTGGCAGAGAGGTAAAGAGAATGGGCACCGTCAATTTGATTAGAAATTAATTCAAAGACTGCAGTCTTGAGATAAAGGAGAACAATAAATAACAAAGAGAAAGGTAATATTGTGAAGAAATTGCTAAGCAGAATCACATACAAGTATGGTCAGATGATTCAAACCTGACTTCTTGACAAATAGGTGAATTGATGCTTAAGTATACGTCCAAGCCAAGCATGTGACTACTGGAGTCTTTGTAAATCAAGCAATTGTAGCAATCAATGGTGAAATCTAAAGAAGGAAGAGCCAAATTTAAATTAGTTTCACAAAGAGCAACAAACTAGGGTGAATTTCGCAAGAGGTAAAGTTCAACTGATGAAAGTCACGTTGTCGGCCATAAATGTTTTTGAAAGATATTGAAACACTTAGTGTTAAAAACACAATTTACTCGGACTTTTTACTTAGAAAAATAAGTTGACTGCAATTTTGCCTATTTTTTTCAAAAAGTGGCAAGTATCTATTTTTCAATATCTTTTACAAATATTTGTGGCCGACGAAGTATTTTCGATTGTCCGGGTGAAACCCAACATGTTGGATTTTAATAAATAATATATTCTTTTTTTTTTATTCAAAAGTTTTTGCTTTACTTACAAGTTATAAGCAATCATGTTTAATGACCATTTAACATATTCAAAACATATTTAGACATATTCAAAACATATTTAGATAACTTCTTTCAAGTAAACTCTAATAGATAGATAACAAGAGCAACGGGCAACATCACATTGCCTAAAAGAGCAACAAAGTTCTCACGGTTTTCTATTTCCTACCGGGGTCCGTACCTATATAATAAAATAATATCCAAAAATATAGAGCCTAAAGTATTAAATAATCCTGCCAACTTGAAAAATAAATTAAAGCACCTCATACTTAATATCAACAATTATATCGACATGTATTAAAACTTACAATTAAAATTTATTCTAAATTATTTATGTGTATCATTGACTGTATATTGTTTAACCACTTTTGACGATATATAGGTACGCGAGGATAAGTCTTCATAGACTTCTACGAGTTTTCATTTACAACAACTTGTATATATCTAAAGTAACAAAAAATTTGTCTTTTTTTCCTTTCCTATATTTACTCTTTTATTTTTAAAAAATACTGGTAGTTTTTATGATAAGAAACACTATTAATTTACCTTATACTTAGTTATACTTTTTATGCTATGTTATACGTGGTTCTATCATGTTATATATTTTTTTTACATTGCATGTCATTTAGTTGAATCTTTAGGTTGTTATATGGTAAAAAAAAATTTTTTGATTTCTTTCTTTTTCCACATACCAAAATTAGTAGCAAGGCTAAATAATGCTTAATTTAAAATGCTGAAATAAAAAATTATTCATCTTTTTTATGCCGATTCAGCGTTAAATGCAGAAAAATCAATAAAAAAGTAAACTACATTTTCTCAGCTTTTTTATGACATTACAAGTTAAAACTTACCGCACTGATGCATTATAGTGTAATAAACAAAACCTTACCAGAAAATCTTAAAATAATAATTATTTTTAAAATGGCAGCACTTTTAATTTCAAAGGATATTTTCGATGCAAAAACCTTTGGTTAAATATAAATATATTCAAATGGAAACAAGTTTAAAGTTAGTTCTAGTTAGGTACAGTTCTATCTATAAAGAAACAACCCTAATTATTTGAAGTTAATTGTTAATATCTGGTTAAAAAGATATGAATGGTTTGCTATTTGCACTCAGACAAAAAAAAATACAACTGAGAAATCTTCAAAGTTTAAAAACAATATATTTATTAAAAGTTTCATACACTCATTTAAACTAACAACATTATCAGATTAACAACTTTTTTTTTTAAGTTTCTAAGTAGTTTACAGGTCCGTAGGAACAAAAATTATATAAGAAGGAGGGGGGGGTGTAAAATAAATTTAAGGAAGTTTTTTTTTTTTAGTCATTTTTTCTCCAAAAAATAGCCCCAGGCCCTGAATTCAAATTGTAGTTCAAAACTTTTTGCCAAAGGAACTTATGCCAAAAATACGGATAACAAACTAGGTCTTTTCTATCCTTTTTTTATATATATCTTAATTTGTGATCGTTTCTTTTTGATTGTTTTGAAAATCGTTTTTTTTTTTCTAAAAACTAATTTCAAAATTGTTTAATTAGAAACACTATTAATTTACCTTATACTTAGTTATACTTTTTATGCTATGTTATACGTGTTATACCCTGCTGTTCTCCCTCCACCCGTTGCTACGGGCCTGGTTTAGTAATTATACAAACCTAAAAATAGAAACAACTATTTAAAATTTAGTTCTTAGATAAATATATGAATAAATAGATTGGTTGTTATGGGCGTAACTAAGTAAATTTCTTAACTTATAATCAATAAAACTAATTTTTGTTTTAAAACCATATCATGTTATATATGGTTAAAAAGTTAGTTAAATTTTATAAAAAGTTAGCTAATAAAAAAAAAAAAAATTTTAATAGAAACCGATAAGTTTTTACCATACTTACAACCACCTTAACGATGTGTAAATTTATTGAAGTTGTAAATAAAAAAATAAAAAATTTAGGCAAGTTTAACTTTGTAGTAAATGAGAAAAAGAAAAATGCTCGCTCCGAAGGTAGCTTTTTTTTGGTACTACGTATAATGCGAATTGCAAACCGCGAACTGCGAATTGGTAAAATGCGAACTTTTTTGCGAACTATCGTTGTTAATGATGTTATTTTATTTATCGTTTACCGTTAAATAGTAAATTTAGCGGTATATTTTATGGACTTTTAAGCAAAAAAATTAGTTTAAAAAAATAAAAGGAAATTAAGTGAAACTAGACAAATATAATATGAATATATATATATATATATATATATATATATATATATATATATATATATATATATATATATATATATATATATATATATATATATATATATATATATATATATATATATACATATATATATATATTTATATATATATATATATATATATATATATATATATATATATATATATATATATATATATATATATATATATATATATATATATATATATTAATTATTTGATAGACTGCCTGCCCAAACCAAACCCTCAGTTGATGTAGCAATACTCCGTTGCGAGTCAGGCTATTTGTCAGTCGATGTAGCACCACTCCGTTGCGAGTCAGGCTATAAGATAGTCGATGTAGCAACACTCAGCGCATGTTTTACAGTTAAAAAATATAAATCTTATTTTAAATATAGCTCTAAAATAGATAATTAAAAATTAGAGAGTTTTTTTTTATTTTTATTTTTATTATAACAATTATGATCTTTAAAATATAATGTTTTGATTCGCAAAAAAGTTGGTATTTTACCGGTTTGCAGTTCGCTCGCATTTTACCGACAACCGTTGTTTTTTTTGAAATGCGGGTTTTTCAAATAACAAATTACGCGAAATGCGGGAATTGACTAACCTTATATTTGTCATATTTTCTTGTTGTTGTGAAATTTATAAAATATTTTTTTAAACTGTTGTTTATATTATTCGTGTGAAATGCCAATGTTATAGATATGTTTTATAAAGTGTTTTAAAATAATTTTGTAGTGGAGCTTTCTATAATTCCTATAAATTATTTTAGATCTCATTTAGAATCTAAATGATGAAGAACGATCAATGATGCACTGTCTGAATTAGGCAGTTCATAGGTCGTTCACGCGGTCTTGGCTAATCTTTGTACAGTTATTTCTATTTTAGCTATATAAAATGACATCAAGATGTACCTATTATGCTATGCGAGCTGCCAGATCCTGCAATTTATTCCAAGTATCATTGAGAAGATTTTCATTTTCTCCGGTAAAATTGGTTTGACCATATTTATTACAAATATAAATATTTTGGGTAGTTTTAAACATTCTCTGTAAAAGGATGAGATTTAAATAAATGGTCAGCTACAAAAAACAGTTTTTTTTTCAGGTAAACAAGCGGTGATACCTCTTGAGATCAGCAACCATAATTTAATTGATTGATTAGAGAAAAATAATGAACTGCAGCAAGCACATTTCTTGAAAGTTATCAACTTTCTAAAAAATTTAAACTGAAAAAAAATTATGGAAAAATAATAAGAGTGGAGTTCTGAAAAAGTATTTTTATATGCCTAATTCAAGTTTTTTATTTTTTATATAAAAATAATGTCTAAGTGAATTATTTGATATATTAAGGTGATGCAGATAATCAAAGTTCATTTTGAAAAAAAGTTATTTTGTTACATTAAAACAAAATTGGGCGTTTAGACAAAATGTTACATTAAGACAAAATTTATCACATATTTTAATGTTTTTAAATAGGTTTTTCTGTTTTTTCAAATTTCAATTCAAAACATTAAATGACTTATAGAAAAAGACTCAAGTTTATTTTTAATTTTTCAGGATACTCTTATGCTTTCTATTTTAAAAAAAGTTTAGAAAAATAAGAATTATATGCTTTTCATACATAATAGTTGAATATGTATTTTTTGGTAAAAACATGTTTATTAAAGTAATTATTGAAAACAGTCATTTGTCTATTTTAGTTAATTTTGTTTTATAGACCCATTGAAACAGAGTTTTTTAAAATATATTTTGTCTCCCCATAAAAAGTAACTCTTATTAATTCAGAGATAAACTTGTTTATGAATGTCTACTAAAGATGATTTAGTCCGTTGTATTAGATTATCTCTATCTTTGTTTAGCATATCAATAATTGTAACAGTTGCTTTATCTGGCACTTATGGTTATAAATTAATAACATCAAATGATACTTGAATTTGTTATTAATAAACCCTTCTTTGGCTGTTGATACAGATGATGAAATGAAAAAGAAAAATCTCTATAATGGTCGTGGTGTTAAAAGCATATCTACAACATATTGAATGTAATGCCATTTAACAGGCTATAAATGTCAATATTGCATCAAAAAAAATTTACCTTAATGATAGCTATACTTGATTTACTAATATTCTTGACACAAATTCTTTTTTAACACTTTTAAATTCAGATGATAAATATATCCAATAAACATGCGAATACGAAAATGCTCAACACAAATTAAATGTTTTAGATATTTGTATTTCAAACATCTTCACAAATATGAGTTTTCCATATACCATAAAGATCCATTTACAAACAAACTTATAAAACTGAAATCATTTATTTCGCTGAGTATTGCAGTTGGTATTTTCAAAGGTTTTTTAGTCAGAGTATACAAAATTTGTTCAAAACATAACAATTAAGATGAAATCAATTTTCTTATTAAGATTTTTACTGAAAATGGACATTCCTATAAACAATATTCAGATATTGATAAAAATTATAAATACTCCACAAATCCATCTTTTTCTCAAAAATTGATTCAAAAAACTTATTTATTTTACCATGGGTCCTAAAGTTAGGCCTTCTTTTTAGAAGAGAATTTTGTAAAGTTGGCGTTAAAACAATCTTCCATTTTGGTAATCCCTTGATCAATATACTTTGCCATAATAAGTCTAAACTACCTCCAAATAGTCATCCAGGAGTGTACTAACTTGGCGCATGTTATATTGGTGAAACAAAAAAAAAGATTTCCACACAAATTCTCTTAACAAAAATATTTTTGCGATTTTTTTTTTTTTTTTTTTGGTTGCTTATTTACTTTTTTTTTAGCAATTCTTAAAAGTAATGTTTTGTCATTAAGTACGTGTCACTAAATTTATCTTCTGAATAGATGATCGTTAATTCTTTCGCTTATTCAACGTAAAACACTTTTCAATTTAAATTACTTTAAATCTCTGATGGAAGCCAATAATATTTAAAAGGTAGTTAAAGTCGTTAATGCAAATTTTTTCTCCATTCTTTTTTTTTAACAAAACAGCTTGGTTTTTTTTTTATATATTAAATAATGAAATTTAATGAAAACATCGATTTAAAAACCATTTGAATGAAAACTTAATTATACTTCAACTTTTTCAGAAAAAAAAAATCTTTTGCGATATATTAGAGTGCCTCTTAAAACAACTTTTTTGAAATTTTCTGCTGCCACCCCCTAAATGTGTTCTATGTAATAAATTAACACTAAATTAAAAATTTTTTTGAACAAGAATAAATAATAGTATCATTGCGAACAATGCCACTTTAGATGTGAGAATATCTGGAAGATCGTTAATATAATCTGAGATTTTTTATGTAAATATATATACAAAAGCAATTAAGCAATTTTTTTCAATTTAATGCAATGCAATAACTTTTTAGATATGTTAAGTCATTTGGAAAAAAATACCAGCTATATTGCTTTAACATCTAGCATTTTCATTTAACAAATTTCATAATTGTTTTTTCATATATTATATTTTTTTATTATTGTTTTATTTTTCTTGGAGGTCTTGGTTTTTCCTCCATACTGTAATTGTGTGAGAATGAAAGTGAGTCCTGTCTGTTCTCTTTCTTTCTGGCAATAACAATGTTGTCCTTCTTAAGTTTAACAGTTCTTTTAGAGCAATCATTAACAACTGCAAGATTAATAGCAGTGTCCTGAAATTTTAGGTAGAAATTCTAGGTAGAAAGTCCAATATTCTGCTGGGGTCATCCATTTCATCCATTGATAGTCACTTATTTTCTGGCATATCATCAGGAACAAGAGCCACACATTTTTTGTAACCAATTTAACTAAGCTTGGTGGATTCGGTCCACTAAAGTCTAAAGATTTAAGGATCCCTATGCTAGCTCTTATTCAGGTTAACGAATATCATCCATGCTATGAAATTCATAGCTATATAGTTTTCTTGCAACTTCATCTCTTTTTTCACATTTTTATCAGCTTGGACTAGCACAATAAGGTAAGGGTCCAAAAACTATGTGTGTCATTTGATAGATCCAATAACTGATTCTGCTCTAATCAGATTGTACTCCTTAAATCTATTCATTTGCCAAAGAGCTCTTATAACCTGAATAAAACAAAAAGTTGTTAACTATTTTTCTTGTAAAAAAATTATATTTTAGATGCTTTTAATAATTATCAAAACTTTTCATTCATACTGGAACCCTTTTATATATATATTTCAGTAATTCCATGTTTATATTTTTTCCATTTCCTAATTGGTCCAATAAAAATGCAATAATTTCTTTTCTTATAAGCTTTAATGATTGAAACCAGAGTATGAAGCTTGGGTGCAGTCCTAAAGATTCTAAAGAAATAAAGAAAGTTTTAATTTAATTGTTTTGTTTACTGTTTAAAAGGTTTTTTGTTTACTCTATAAAAGGTTCTTAATTTAAATAGAAAAATTTGTTTTGCAGTTTTACTTTAATTATTTTGCTATTTAAGTGAAAGAATTTAGAATTAAAATGAAACTGCTAACTTTTTTTTTAATTTAAAATAAGGCAAAAAATTAGTTCAACTGAATACCAACCTTAATTTTGAGGGCTGGGTCATTCCAGCTCAATTCAATTTATGCTCCGCGACATATCATTTCAGATTTTAATGATTTTTTGTATACAAACTTAAATTATTGAAAAAAATTCATTCTAAATTTTAGAAGAAGAAAAATATTATACAGATTTTTTTTTTTTTTTTTTTGCATTTTTTTAAAAAGTTTTAAGAATCTCAGGTACAGTTCTAGTATATAAACTTGTTTGCATTTCACATTAAAGATCTTCACATTATACAACCTTTCTATTTAAAAATCTTCAAATAGTTATTTTAAAATTATTTCTTTTAAAACTAAAAAGTAGTAAAAAAATATTAATGATAAAAAAAGATGTTTAATTAGATAAATAAAGAAAGAAAATTGTCACAAACAAACATCCAATGATATCAAAAATGATGTGAAAATCAAAGTATTAAAAACGAAGTGAAATTCAATGATATCAAGAAAATTTTAAGTCTCAATGATGTAGAAAAAGACTAAATAATCGTTCTTGCATTGAAAGTGGTGAAAATGCAATGGTATGCTTCCGTGAATATGTTTACTTACAACAATCCACAATTCACTTAAGTTGATGTGATCTATTTAATTCACACAATGGTAAAAGAAGAAAAGGTATTATTACTTAATCATGAAGCTTTTTTTAAACTTTATTGTAAATATATATACTAAATTTTTTTACAAAATACTCACTGAAATAGTAATTATCACTCGTGTTTTTAGGAGGGTGTAAAGAAATTAATAAACAACTTGCTGGGAAATTAAAAAATATTGGTATTAATGTTATTCCAAAGATATGTCCGTAATGTATAATTAAGTTGTCATTTAAGTATGATGGACTAGAAGAACCTACTTGCAGCCAGATTTATGAAGACAAAAATAATGAACTTCTTAAATCTCAATTCTTTTTTGACGACTATGACCATAAGTCCTTTTAAAACACTAAATAGTCACTCAAGAGTTGCTCTTGGTAAAAAGAAATTTTTACATGTTGAAATTTTTACAAGGACTTAAAATAATGATCCTGATCAGTTTGCTTCACATTTAAGGAAGTTGAATGTAAAGCAAATGATATGGATATACTTTTAGGAAAAATTTTAACTTTCAAATAGAATCAGAAAATCCAACTACTACTGGTTTCATTACCTCGGTCTAACAAATATATAGAAAAAGAATTTAATGTTACTAATTGTATGTGGTATTTTATCTTTCCCTGAAAGAAAAAAAAGGAAAGGAAATATCTTTTTTTTATGTATGTGTATTTACTGTATGCTAAGTTTAAAACCAGTTATCCTGATATAAAGACTTGGTTTTCTCACTTTCGCTCAAATCGTCCAAAATGGTGCCTTACAGTGTGAGCATCTGGTACGCATACAGTGTGTGTGATCACGCACATACTGTACATACGCTACATACGCAACATACATAAGTTAATATATAGTGCAGTTTCAAAGGTTTATCATAAACTTATTGATATGTTTGTTTGTAGTAGGGCAAGTAGCTCCATTAATACTCTAATAAATAAGTTACAAAAACTGTTCATTCCTACATTGCAAAATATTCATACATTGCTGATTTTTCAGAGAATAAGTTAAAGAACTAAGAAACGTATAACTTAAAACTTATAAAGTTGTAAGTTGTATACAAAAAGAAGAACATGAAGATGGCTAAGAGTTGTAAGTTTTTTTTTGATGTTCAAGGAAAAAAATTTGATTAATAAAAGTTTTCATAGCATGAAAGGATAGATGCAGTAAAATTATGCAACTTGTTGAATCAAAAGTTAAGCAAAAATGAGTTCTGGTTTATCATTATAAAGATGATAGCTCGTTTGAGCATTGACCATGATTGTATTTATAGAAAAAAGAAAGAAATGCAACCTTACAACAATTGGAGAGCAGCTCAAGCTTGGCAGATAAAGCAGGTCTAATTAGCTTTACAGTGTGCTTTTAGACTTTGTCTGAGAGTAAGAAGGTTGTTATTCATAAATATAGGAATGCCAACGGTATTGCAATATTTTTTTGCAGTAAATTAATGAGTTTTGATGTCTAACAAAAATTGCAAATTATAAATCCAGAATTAAAATCTACAAGCCACTGCAAGCCTTAGGCTGTTACAGAAGAGAGATCAGATCAAAAATTGGCTGCTTGTTCTAAGCAATCAAGAAGTGAAGACTTTTTGTCAAGATAGGAGTATTAAGTTGAGTTGCCAGCAAATAGAGCTACTTTAGATTTCATGAAGATTGTTATTGCAGATAAAAAGCAATACAGGAGCAAAGATAGAACCTTGTGGTACCCTTAAAGTTACTTGAAATAAAGAAGAGAGTAGGCCTTTAAGAATAATTTTACTACTGCAGTTAAAAATTAATAGTTTAATAACATCAAAACCTTTATATAAAAAAAACTTATAACAGAGTGAAGACTGATCATAGGTTAGTTGGAGAGGTCAGAGTGTTTTCTAGAGTTTTGAAAAATTGGAGTTACTTATTCAGCACTTTTTAAAAGTTTAGCAAAAATTAAAAAAAGTTCTGGAAAACTTTTATAGACTATTATTATTCTGGAAAATTTTTTAAGACTTTTATTTATTATTATATTAGATATTATTATCTATTATTATTTAACAATAACTTTAGCATTGGAAGCCAGAGTGATTTCCATGTTTAAAGTAAGTCTAACATTTAATGTCAAGTTCTTTATTTTCTAAACTTTAGCATTGGTGATTTCCATGTTTAAAGAAAGTCTGACATTTAATGTCTAATTCTTTAATTACTAAACTTTAGCATTAGTGATTTCCATGTTTAAAAATGGGTTAATCTATTTATCTGTCAGGAAACGTATGGCTATTATATTCAAGAATTAAATGAGAGTAAGATTTCTTTGCAAATAACTCTGCTTTATTCTTTAGAGAAGTAAAAGATTAGACCCATGAATTAGAGATTAAATGTTAGACTTACTTTAGTTAATGACACTGTTGAAAACTAACCAAAAGTCTCAAAAACTTAACATCTGAAATAAGATACAAGATTTAGTAAACTGAGAATAACAGAGCTTAACATCAGACTAGACTTTTTACATAAGCTTTTAAGTAATAAAAGCTTACATTTTGTATAAATGAGCTTTAGTTAAGGAAAAAATAAATGCTCTAGATTGTTTATATTAGAAAAACAGCATAAAAGAGGAAGGCTAATGTCTGATGATTATAATGGTAATGATCCTGATGGTAGTGATGATCATCGTCATTATCAGGCTTTAGCCTTTCTGTTTTATGCTGTTGGTGGTGATGATAATAATCATGATCATGATGATTATGATAATAATGATGATGATGATCATCATCATCATGATAATAATGATAATTATGGTAATTATGTTGATCATAGTGATGTTTATAGCATATATATATATACAAAATATAACATGAATTTTGATTAAAATGAATATACTTTAGGATATATAAATATTTATGCAACCCCGGTCACAAACCTGGCCTTGGATATATTTTATCAAACCCGGTCATTTTTTTTATATAGAAGCTTTAATTTTTTTAGTGTTTTAGCCATCATTCTTGAGTTCTTCTCCCTAAAAAATTGTTGTCAATAAAAAATCCTTCATTAAACATTAGGTTGTATAAAGTAAAGATCTTAAATGTGAAATCGAAACAAGTTTATATATTAAAACAGTACCTGAGATTTTAAAATCTTTTTTAAAAAAATGCAAAAAAAAAAATGTACATAATTTTTTTTTTCATTATTAAAAACAATTTTTTATTAATTTTTTTATAAAAATATTTATCCAAATAAATCAGATTCAAAAAAGAAAACCTTTGTAGTTTTTTTGTAATAAGGAGTTTGTCATATATAGAACCATTGTTTTTTGCAAAGGAAAAATTTTCAGAGTCATATCTTTTAGGCATTTTAGGATATACTTTTTTTTGTAGAGGGCATCAAAAAACTTATAAAAAGCATTACACCATTTTGAAATTGAATTTTCATAGAAAACCTTTACTTTTTTAATGTTTTAGGTATCATTTTTGAGTTTCTCTCCCTAAAAACACTATTAAACAAGCATTTCATAAGTTAAAGCTACTTGTATTATGTAATTAGCTTAAAAAATAAGTGCCGCTGAAAAAAATAATTAAAAAAGAGATTGGGACTAAGTATCTTTAAAACCGTAAGGAGACAGACACTAAAATTTTGAGCGAAATTTTTTTTCATTAATATAAGCTTATATTCTGAAAATCATCAAAATCTGAGATGAGTACTGAAAAAAATTCATCAAAATCTGAGCATGGTACTGAAAATTTTTCTTTTGGATTATTTTGACGCAGAATGACCTGGCTGTATTTATTTGTTATTTTTATCATTTTTTTTTAGGCACTATTATATACAAGTGTTTCAGAAAAAACTATATCTTACCAAGTTGGCTCAGCAATAGGAAAACTTAGAAATTCATTTACTAAATATGTGGTAAATTTAAATAGTTAATACTTTTTTTGAAAAGTATATATGTTAAAGCTATAGAATTCTTTTTTGTTTTTGTTTTTTTATACAGTTTTAATGAAAATTTTTAATGAAATTATTATACTGGTTATTTGAAATTATCAGTTATATTTAAAAACCAATTATGCCAAAACACTAAGAAAAATCTTCAATAATAAAGTTTTAACTTTAAAGGCCACTTACAAAAACGTAGTTATAAATAAACATTCATTTGCTTCCTTTTTTTTTCTTCCTATTATGACATAATTGTGTAATATTATTTTTGGACTATTAAATTTAATTTTGGTAGTTTTTACATAATTTTTGTTATTCATTAACACATTTGTGAAATATATAATGAGAGTTAAATTGTAATAATAATTTTTAAATTGTAATTTAAAAATTTAAATGTGGTAGTGGTGTAGTGGTAGAGCACTCACCTAAGCGATGGAATATATATATATATATATATATATATATATATATATATATATATATATATACATATATATATATATGTATATATATATATATATATATATATATATATATATATATATCAGGCTTTCACAGGAAGACGTGCGATTTCACGTCTTTATATGACCACGCAAAAAAAAAAATGTTTTAACGATTTTGCCACGGCATATTTTTAAAATTTAAAAACGCGCTACAAAAACTTACCTAAACTTATCTGAAAAAAGAATTTAAAAAAATAATAAATATTAACGAAAGAAAAAATAAAAATAATACTTAGTTAAAGCAAAAACACAAAAAAATAAATAAATATATATAACGCAACTAAAACAAAACTCATCAAACTAAAATGCTTAGTCTATTTAATTTATGCATTAAAAAACTTTTTCAATCTTTGTTTCAACATTTTTATATATTTTTTATTTATTTAATATGTTCAAAAGTTAAATATTTCTCATAAAAAATACATAGTTATATAAACAAAATAAAAAAATATTTTATTAATACTTTTTTTTTAATTATTTAGAAGTGTTTTTTTTTTTACTTCATTAAAAGCGTTTTGATAATATAAAAGCATTTAAGATCAAACTTATTAAATTGTAACGGTTTTCTAAAACTTTTTTTTTTAACGAAATTTTGTTTATCTTTTTGAATGCATTAACTTTAATCATTCTTATATTTAAATTTGTTAAAGAGACTTTCGTAGTCGTAGAATGTCATCATTTATAAAAACAAAACATTTTTATATTTTTTAATAAGATTTATTTTAGAAATAAACACTTAAACAATTTATGTTTTAAGTTAAAAATATATATATACAACTGTCAATTATATTTAAAAAACAAAACTTTTTTTCAGTCAATTGTTACTTTATTTAAAATCGTTTCGCTAATATAAAAACATTTGTTAAGAAGTTTTGATGTAATTAATTTCACTTTTTCAGAATTTTTTTTTATTTAGCGCATTTCTAAAATGTTTTTTGAATTAGCCGCGGTCAAACCGTCATAGCAAAATGTAACTTGCGTGGTCATATTAAGACGTGAAATCGCACGTCTTCCTGTGAAAGCCTGTATTATATATAAATATATGCTTTTTTTTCCAGAAAAGGTAACTTCAAAGTAAACACACTAAAAACAATCTTGCTTGCCTTGCTTTTAACTCATGAAATATTTTTGTTTATATTTTATTAAATTTTTTTGACTAAATACTTGGGGTAATCGAGGCAAAAATAATAAAAAACTTTTATTTTAAGTTGTAGACCTTTCCTCGTCTTGTGTCAAAGTTTCATTTAGAATTATATAATAGTTATCATCATCAAATATATAAAAGTTATCAACTGCTAAAAATATTGACATTTTCCTTATTTTTCCGCCATTATAGATAAAATAAAAAATTTTTTTAAATAATTTGCATCGATTTTTTAAGACCTTCCAGAAAATATATAGTTTTATATCATACAATACAAAATTGTTGTTTTAAATTTATCAGGAGACAAACCCCTTAAAATTAAAAAAAATGAAAATGTCATAACCCTAATATAAACTGTTTTTGATAACATGTTAGTACTATTTTGTTTTGAAACTAGGTTTTAAAACTATGAATTTTTTTATTTGTTAACGAAAGGAACTTATAATTAGATAAGGTTACTTTACTTATACTGCTGTTTAAAATCCATTGCTTAAATCCTCATAATAGGTTTAGTCATTGTGAAGTTACGAAACAAGTTGTATTTTGAGACTATGTTTCCTCCCCCATTGATATTTGTTTATTTTTTTATACTATATTTAGTGAAGATTTATAATAACAACAAATTGTGAAATATCTAGAACTTTGGATGAGAATGACTCATCCAAATGAGAATCAAAAATGACAACAAATCTATTAATGCTAATATTTAAGCCATGATATTTAAACCGTATAAATTTTTAACTTTTTTTTATTATAATATAAGTCTCATCTAGCTATATTAAAACAATAATCAAATAAAACAATCGTGTGTAAGTACGAGCCTTGTTTGAACATATATTTGACACCATTAAGTCAATATTCCAAAAAAGTGTTAAACTTTAGTCTAACATTTAGAAAACCAATCTAAAATCAGTAAATAAGTTTTAAAGCGATTTAAAATTTTTATTTCTGTTTATTTGATACTTAAAATTGAAATAACATGTGATTGAATTGGATCATTTTGATTGAATTGATCATAATGATTTTTGGTACTCAGGCTTATGTTCATTAATAAAAATCATGTTTCAAATTTCTTGCTCAAACTGTTTGAATTTTCAGATATATTGATACTCAGTTTCAATCCATTTCTGTACCTTTTTTTAAATAAGGTACCATCTACTTGAAAATCTTTTTTACATAAGCTCTGTTATTGGATGGTTATTATTAGGATTTCTACAGTTATTTCTGCAAATACAATGTTTTACTAATGATTTAAATTTGTTGTAGATGAAAAGTTTGGTTTCTAAAAATCTTTATGAAAGTTGTGCAGATAAAATTCCATACAATGAATTTTTTAAAGGTATGTGTTTATGAGTTTTTTAAAGGTATGTGTTTATGAATTTTTTAAAGGTATGTGTTTATAATTTTTTTGAAGGTATGTGTTTATGAATTTTTTAAAGGTATGTGTTTATGAATTTTTTAAAGGTATGTGTTTATGAATTTTTTAAAGGTATGTGTTTATGAGTTTTTTAAAGGTATGTGTTTATGAATTTTTTAAAGGTATGTGTTTAAGAGTTTTTTAAAGGTATGTGTTTATGAATTTTTTAAAGGTATGTGTTTATGAGTTTTTTAAAGGTATGTGTTTATGAGTTTTTTAAAGGTATGTGTTTATGAATTTTTTAAAGGTATGTGTTTATGAGTTTTTTAAAGGTATGTGTTTATGAGTTTATGAGTTTACACACTTTTACACAAATGCATACACACTTACACACACGCATACACACATACACATTCATACACTCACTTATGCACATGTATACACACATGCATACACTCACTTATATACATGTATACATACACTTATGCACAGGCGTACAAACTTATACACATGTATACTGCACATTTTGTAAGTTGTTCACATACAGCATAATGCATAAAAGTTGCATAACAATATTGTAATGTTTAAGCAATATTGCAATAATGATAAATTTCTTTTTTTCTCCTTCAGGTTTTTATTTGATATTAAATTTTTTTTTTTTTTTTTTAATTTGCATTCACTCCCAACAAGGCTGCAAGCAACCACTATTAAGTTGGGAGTTACTAGGAAAAAAAAAGAACAGAGTTATAGAGCAAGGAAACGGTTGACAGAAGACTTAAAAAGTTGAAGGTTGTATGAGTCAGGAAAACATGAAGATGGGAGAGAGTTCCAAAGGATTGAAGTGCGGGGAAAAAAACTAGATGAATAAAAGTTTTTAGAGCATGCAGGGACAGATGCAGAAAACGAATGAGACTTAGCTGAATGACGAGTAAAACGAGAATGAATTTTAGTTGATGGAACTAGAGATGATAACTCCTTTGAGCAGTGACCATGATAGTATCTGTAGAAAAGAGAAAGAGATGCAACTTTACGACGATGGGAAAGAGATTCAAGTTTAGCAGATAGTCCAGGTCCAACAACATTTACAATGCGTTTTTGGACCTTGTCAAGAAGAGAGAGTGAATCGTTAGAAGAACCAGCCCAAATATGACAACAGTATTCCATACAGGGACGAATAAGAGATTTGTAGAGGTAGAGAATGGAATCAGAAGTAAGGAAATGGCGAGCACGATAAAGAGAAGCAACCTTAGCAGAAGCTAATTTAGCAATCGATTGTATATATGGTTTCCATGAAAGGTCAGTAGTAAGCGATAATCCAAGAAGACGTAAAGAGGACGACTCAGTAAGAGGATTGCCATTCATTAATATAGGAATGTTGACCATATTACGGTAGTTGTTTGCAGTAAGCAATTGGGTTTTTTTAGAGTTGAAATTCACAAGCCACTGTGAACCCCAATCTATTACTGAAGTGAGATCAGATTCAAGATCAGCTGCTTGTTCTAGGCGATCGAAAAGAGAAGACTTTTTGTCAAGACAGGAGTATAAAGTTGAGTCATCAGCAAAAAGACCTACTTTAGATGAAAGGTTGTCAGGAAGATTGTTTATGTAGATAAGAAACAAAACAGGGCCCAGGATGGAACCATGGGGAACCCCAGAAGTTACAGGAAATAAAGAAGAGAGTTGGCCTTCAAGGATGACTTTAATTAACCGGTCAAAAAGAAATGATTTGATAATCTCAAAAACTTTCCCAGAAACACCATATGAAGCAAGCTTATGGAGAAGACCAGCATGCCAAACTTTATCGAAAGCTTTAGATATGTCGAGAGCAATAGCCCTAGCCTCACCGCCTCCATCTAATGCACGATAAAATCTTTCAGTTACAGCAGTTAGCAAGTCGGCCGTAGAGCGAGAGGATCGAAAACCGTATTGATTGTCTGACAGCAGTTTATTTGACTCAAGATGAGATGTGAGGAATTTGTTGATCAAAGACTCAAAGACCTTGCTAATAACAGAAAGAAGACTGATTTGACGATAATTGGAGGGGTCAGAATTTTCTCCAGAGTTTTTAATATTGGAACCACAGATGCCATTTTCCAACAAGCAGGAAAACAAGACTCAGTCAAACACTTGTTAAATAGTTTAGAGAAAATTGAAGAAAGTTCTGGAGAACAATTCTGCAAGACTGTGACAGGAATGTTGTCTGGACCACAAGCTGTAGACGAGTTTAATTGAGATATGACTTTAGCAACAGAAGCCGGAGTGATTTGAATGTCTAACAATAGGTCAACCTGTTTGACTGGAATGGAAGGAAGAGAATGTCCATAAGATTCAAGAGTGGAATGAGAAGAAAAGTTCTTTGCAAACAGTTCTGCCTTATCCCTGGGAGAGGTAACAAGATCAGTCCCATGAATGAGAGATGGAATGTTAGATCTACCCTTGTTAACAATGCTGTTGAAGATTTTCTAAAAGTCTTTAGAGCCTAACTTCTGCGATAAGATGCGAGATTTAGTGAACTGAGAATAATGGAGTTTAGCATCAGAAAGCACCTTTTTACATCGATTTCTTGCAATAATAAATAGCCGTTTGTTCTCAAGAGAGTTGTTCTTTTGAAAAAGATGAAAAAAATGGTTACGATTGGATATAGCAGCCGCACAAGAAGGAGAAAACCATGGAGTAGAATGAGGCTTGACTTGAAACCGACGAGAAGGAATAAAAGCTTCCATTCCAGCCTGAATCCAGGAGGTTACGTAGGAGGCACATTTGTCAGCTGAGAGAGAAAAAACATCAGCCCAAGGACCATCACAAAGAAAATCACGAAAGGAATCCCAGTCAGCTTTAGGGTAGTAGTAGGTGGTGCGATGATAAGGTGAGCCCAAAAAAGAAGTACGAGAAGAAAGATTTATAGAGATCATTGCATGGTCAGAACCACCTAAGGGAGAAAAGGGAGAAACTGAACATAAGCTAGGGTCAGAGACAAGACATAAGTCAAGGAGTGAAGGTAAATGATTAGGGTTGTCAGGAAAACGAGTCACAAAGTTAACTATCTGAGTAAGAGATTGAGAAACGCAGAAGTTAAAGGCTTTAGTGCCAGCAGGATCAGTGGTGTTAGAGCCAAGCCATTCAGTGTGATGGGCATTAAAATCACCAACAACAAGAATATTGGCAGAGGGGTAAAGAGAGAGGGCATGGTCAATTTGATCAGAGATAACGTCTAAAAGAGTGCAATCATGGGAAGAAGGAGAACGATAAAGAACAAAGAGAAAGGTGATAGAGTGAAGAGGTGCTAGGCGAAAGCACATAAAAGAATGGTCAAAGGATTCGAACCTGATTTCACGACAAATAGGGGAATTAATGCGTATGTATACCCCTAAACCTAGCATGTGACTATTGGAGTCTTTACGAATCAAAGGATAGTACCCATCAACACTGACATCTGAAGAAGGAATTGCAGAACTTAAATTTGTTTCACTGAGTGCAAGCAAGTCTGGTGAATTTTGCAGGAGGTAAGACTCAACTGATGGAAAGTTGCTTCGTAGACCGCGAATATTTGTAAAAGATATATTAAAATATTTAGGTGGTGGGGATGGTTTTTTAGGTTTTAAATTTTTGGTTACTTTGGTCATGATTTGGGTTTAATGAGAACTTGACTCATTCATAGATAGAGCACAGCCTCCTAATCAATGAGCTATGCAGTTGTCTCAGTCCTGTTAATTAACCCTAAGCCGTGACATAGGGCTCCTTATGTGGCCTTGACAATGCACACCAAAAGCATTAACAGGGACACCATCCATGCGCAACATGGCACTGTTAATACTCTGATATTTTGCAGCTGTTGATGGAATCAGCCTCTCTGAGAGCTACCACAGAGTTCGGGAAACCTTACTACCAGCCGGCCTCAGAACCATTAAACTGAGTTTTAGAGCTGTACCCTCATATGGAGATAACAGGAAGAGTTGCATAGCCATTATCATAGAGGCATAAGCAAAATTCTATGAGTAGAGTCAAGGAGATCCAGCATTCATCATCCTAGGCAGGAAACAATGTAACACAGGTTACATCTACGCCAGCCTAATAGATGAAGAAGGGGTTCGAGGCTGGTTAGCAGAATTTTTCTGCTTACCCCTAAAGTCTTTGCCTAGGAGGCCTTCTACAAGACAGTAGCAGGATGCAGTTAACATCTGCCCAAGATGAGTATTTTTATCGAGACACCATCTCTAGCCTTTACTCAACCAAGAGCCCCAAGGCAGGGGATGTTTAGCTGGATGCAGTTAACATCTGCCCAAGATGAGTGTTTTTATCGAGACACCATCTCTAGCCTTTACTCAACCAAGAGCCCCAAGGCAGGGGAATTTTTAGTCGGAGTTTATTTCTCCTAGCCTTTGCATAAGAGCACACTCTGCAAGGCAGCAGGGCTTGTAAATTAACAGGAAAAATTATTTAAAGAACAAAAAATAGTTAAAACTAAAATTTTTTATAAAATTTTATAAAGTTTTTTTGAATTTAAATATAAAGATAAAAAGTGAGTTTCCCCATCATTTAAATAGATTTTTTATATTTAAAAAGTGTTAAATTTACGATTTACATTCTACAAGTTCAACTTAAATATGTCAAGTAAAAAAAAAAAAAAAAAAAAAATATTTTGAGACTTTTTCTTTTCTATGCAATCAGTTCAAAAAAATATGAAATTTATTTAAAATATTTTTAAAAACCAAAAGTAAATCCAAAACTAATGATATCAAGAAAAAATTTAATTTATGTTTGGTTTAATTTTTCTGCTGTTCAACTTTAAATATTTTTAACAATGTTTAAAATATATTTTATTTTAAACTTTCATCTAAAATTTTTGTGAATTTTTAAAAACAATGTTTGTCTTTAAGTAACTTATGTCTTCATGATGACATCAAATTTTATATCTTACCAAGTTATGCCTTAACTTTGCTATAACTGCAATTAAGTTTAATTTTTTTGTGTTTATTTTGTTTGTTTTTTTTTTAGTTTGTGGTTTACCAGATACAATGCAGTCTTGGTTTTATATTATGGAGCTCCATGTATGGTAGGTTCATGTGTTATTTTATTTTTTTGTATTATTTTTTATTTTATTTTGTTCTAAAATTTTCAGGGTATATTCTTAACAACATTTAAAGTTCATTTGAGAGATTTTAATATATCAATTATATATATAATTATTTTTAAAAACTCATTATTTTTAGTTTTCACTTCTTTAAAGTGTTTGTAATTAATATGAATTTAAACTTATTTATAAAAATAATCAAAATCTGTCTGTCAAATGGAGTTAAATAATGTCATCAATAGGTCTGCAAAGTTTCATTATTTTCAAGTCAAACTCTCGATTACATGTTTTCAAATTTTTGACATGTTTTAAAATCATGAGAACTAGGTGTTTTTTTCACACTGTTTTTGCTCCATTATGGATTTTCGGTAAAGTTTTTCAAAATTATTTTTTTGCAAAAACATTTTATTTCTCTTAGTATTTCTGCATATTTATAAAACTTTTTTGTTATTTTTCGTGAAAATTGTTTTTTTGTTTTTTGTGGTAGCAGGAAATTAAACTCCCGAAAAATCCTCTAGGATTTTTCTTTACAGCATATAAAATAAACAGTATATCAATATAATAGTTGTTTATAATATAAATTTTTTATACATACATTTTATAATACTAATAGAACCTTTATCCTTCATTTTTCATAAATTGACTGACAAATAGGTAGAGCATACAAGGAGTGCCGTTGTGAGTGCTGGTTTTGGTTTGGGCAGGCAATTTATGAATTCAATTCATAAATTACAGATTTATTTAAATTGAGATTTTTTATTTAGTGTTATGCTAAAGTTTAAAATTGTATTTTTTTTTTTTATTAATTTAAGTTCAATAAATTTTGATAGAAAATTTTTACCTTAAAAATCAATCAAATTTAAACTTAATGAGAAATAAAATCACATTAAATTTGATTTAACCTCAATTATAATTATTCAAAATAATTAAGCAAAATTACTTGGCATATGATCATGTTTGAAACTTAACTTTATAAATCTTTTGAAATTGGAGTATGTAACTAAATATACAAAAAATTACCTTTTGGGTGTTTTTTTGGGTATTTTAGTTATGTATTACCAATATTTGTATATGATATATTTTTAATATTTTATCATTCAGGTCAGGTCAGGTTAGCCTGCTACTGGTAACTTGTAACCAAGTACAATCTGCTAGTTCTGCAAATGTCCTGCTGCATTGTAGGATACGCCTTTTAAGGAAAAGGCTAGAAAATGCCAACTCCGACATAAAACATCCCCTGACTCTTGGTTGAGTAAGGGCTAAAGATGGTGTCTAGATAAAAATATTCATCTTGGGCAGATGTTAAATACATCAGGCTACTGTCTTGTAGAAGGCCTCCTAGGCAAAGACCTAAGACTTTCCATCAACAGTTGTAAAATATCAAAGTATTAGACAGTGCCATAATCCACATGGATGGTGTTCTTGTTTGTACTTTTGGTATGTATTGCCTAGGCCACATTAAAGCCCTTTTTCTTGGCTTAGGGTTTATTAATAGAAATGAGGCAATTGCTTGGGCTATTAAACAGTGTACTGAGTAATATCTATGCTTTGAGTTGAGTTCTTTAAAAAATTTAAATGACTAAAGTACCATAAACTATAAAACACAAAAAACTATCATCATCACAGAATTCTCTAAACCTATCATTTGCTAATATACGTGGTTCAAAGTAACTTTTCTTCTGTTGAGTCTTACCTCTTGCAAAATTCGCTAGACCTACTTGCTCTTTGTGAGACTAATTTGAGTTCAGCTGTCTCATCTTGTGATCTTAGTGTTAATGGTTATCTTCCTTTAATTCAAAAAGACTCCAATAGTCACATGATTGCCCTGGGCATTTACATTTGTAAGAATTCAGCCATTTATCGGGAAACTAAGTTTGAATCCACAGACTATTCTTTTATGTGCTTTCGTTTACCACTCAATTTCACTCAATTGCTTTTCTCTTTGTTTTTGCTCGTTTATCACGTTATCTCCTTCATCTTAAGACTGCATCCTCGCGTTATCAGCTCCTTCATCTTAAGACTGCACTTTTTTTGATGTTATTTCTGATCCAGTTTACCAAGCCCTCTTTATCCATTAGCCAATACCATTGTTGTTGCTGACTTTAATGCTCATCACACTGAATGACTTGGCTCTAGTGTCAGTGACTCTGCAGGCATTAAAGCCCACAACTTTTGCCTTTCTTAACTCCTAACTCAAATAGTCAACTTTCCAACTCGTTTTCCAGACAACCTGAATCATTTACCTTCTCTACTCAACCTATGTCTTGTTTCTGATCTTATTCAGTGTTATGTCTTGTTTCTGATCTTATTCAGTGTTATGTCTTGTTTCTGATCTTAGTCTGATCTTAGTCAGTTTCTCCACATTCAACTTTCAGTTCTTCTGATTTTTTTGATCTTTCTTAAATTATTATATCATTCTTTTTCATCATCTGAATCCCCCTATCATCATACCTCTTACAACTACCTTAAAGCTGACTGGGACTCTTTCCGTGATTTTCTTCGTGGTGGCCCTTGGGTAGAAATCTTTCGTCTTCCTGTTGACATATGTGCTTATTAGTATCTTTTATTCCCTCTTGACAATTCCAGGTCAAGCCTCACTCCTCTATGGTTTTCTTTACATTGTGCTGCTGTAATTGCCGATCAAAACTGTTACTTCCATTTCTATTAGCAAATTGATTCTTCAGAAAACAGACCTCTGTTTATTACTAGTAGAAATTATTGTAAAAAGATTTTGTCTGAGACCAAAGCTTGCTATTCTCAGGTCATGAAATCTTGTATTTCGTCACTAAAATTAGCCTCTCGTGACTTTTGGAGAATCTTTAATAGTGTCAATAATTAGAGCAAATCTGTAATTCCCCCTCTCTTTTATGGTTCAGGCTTTGTCACCTCACCTAAAGACAAAGCTGAATTGTTTGCTAAGAACTTTTCATCAATATCATCTCTTGATTCCACTAGTTGTGTTAGATATCTACCTGATATAGCCTTCAATCAGGTTGATCCATTGCTTTACATTCACTCCAGCTTCTGAATCTAAAGAGATTTCCTGCTTAGACTCTTCTACAACTTGTGGCCCGGACAAAATGCCTGTTGTCGTCTTCCAGAAGTGTTCTCCGGAGCTGTCATCTATACTTTTAAAACTATTCAAGTGCTTATCAAAGTCTTATTTTCCAGCCCGCTGGAAAACAGCATCTGTTATCCCTATTTCAAAAAATTCTTGAGAGCAATCTGATTTGTATAATAACCGTCCCATTAGTCTTCTTCCTATCACGAGCAAGGTTTTTGAATCTTTAATTAATAATTATTTAATTTCTCATCTTGAATCTAATAACTTACTTTCTGATCATCAATATGGATTTTGATCTTCTCGTTCTATGGCTGATTTGCTAACAGTAATAACCAATTGGTTTTATAGTGCATTAGATAAAGGTGGAGAGGTCAAGGCCATCGCTCTTGACATTTTTAAAGCTTTTGATAAAGTTTAGCATGCTGGTCTTCTCCATAAGCTTTCTTCTTATGGTGTATCTGGAAACATATTTAAGATTATTGAATCTTTCCTTTCCAATCTTAGTATAAAAATTGCCCTCTATGGGCAGCACTCTTCTTATTATTCTGTAACCTCAGGGGTTCCTCAAGGTTCAATCCTTGGCCCTATACTCTTTTTAATTTACATTAGCGATCTTCCAGATATTCTCACAATTAAGATGGCATTGTTTGCTGATGATACTACCATTTATTTTTGTCATGATAAGATGGCAACTCTCTCTGATTAATTGGAGGGGGCATTTGAGCTTAAAATGAAACTCACTTTTGCTACAGTTTGGGGCTCACAGTGGCTGGTGAACTTTAATTAAATAAAACTCAAATTTTTTCAGTTAATTATTATCGCAATAATTTAGATATTCCTATATTTATGAATGGTAATGTACTCGATGAGTCATCTACCTTTCATCTTCTAGGATTAACTCTTACTTCCGATCTTTCTTGGAAACCATATATCAAATATGTTACAAAATTAGCATCTGCTAAGGTTGCATCTTTTAATCCCGCTCAACTACTCCAGGATCTATTCTCTATCTCTATAAATCTCAAATCTGTCCTTGTATAGAATACTGCTGCCATATCTGGGGCAGATCTTCTAATGATGTCCTTTCTCTTTTAGACAAGGTACAAAAATGCATTGTAAACATAGTAGGATCTGCTCTTGCAGCCAACCTTCAACCATTATTACTATGTCATAATGTTGCTTCTCTTTCTCATTTCTACAAATACTATAATGGGCACTGCTCTAAAGAGCTAGCATCTGTTGTGCTATCTGCTAAAATTCATTCTCGTGTTACTCATTATTCAATAAAGTCTCATCTTTTTTCTGTTACTGTTCTTGAATGGATCCCCAACTTGACAAGTTGTGTCATATTAAAGAAAATGTCATGACAAGTTGTGTTCATATTAAAGAAAATGTTTTAAAAAAAACATTTTGGCTAAATTTTTTTGATTAAAACTTTATAATGAGTACACACCATTAAATTTAAAATTCACGTTTTAGTCGAAGTTCATCGTCTCCATTTTTTTTTTTTGTTCTCGGAGTCTTTATAATGTTAGCCACAATCTGCAGACTTGATAATTTATTCAATGCGTTTAATTCATAACACGCATTGAATTCACGTTTTGGTATATGATGTCATGGTATAAATTTTTTTTTTTCAAGAGTGAGTATTATTTTTTTGCCAAATTCACCAAATCATGTTAATTGTATGACTTTTTACTAAATCTTTAAAAAAAGTTTATGATGCAATTAAAAATTAAATTTATAAAAACAAAAATTCAATATATAACGAATGTTTACAGTAAAACATACTGGTTTAAACTAAATATACACTAGGTATTAAAAGAATAATTTTACTAAAGCGTATAAGTTAATTTAAAGTATAAACTGAAAAAAAAATGAGTGACTTGAATAAAACATATAAACTGAACAAAGTAGA